TTTTTTTTAATTACATATAAACAAATCTTTGTTTGGGGACTAAAGTCTTGAGATTAAATTAATAATTTAAAAAAAAATACATAACTTCATGTCTGGCTAAAAAATTTTAAATTTAACAGTCCATTTGATCATGATACAGTACCCAATGTATTTTTTACATTTTTTTTATTTTACTCTTTATTTATATATATTTTAATATTTTATTTTTATTTAATACACACTTTAACATACATCCTAGTATCTCCATTGTAACACCTCATACACTCACTAAACTAACACAGCTTAACATGTAAAATTGAGTTAAAGTTTTATCATGACACATTTTTAGCCACTAATATTTGTCCTTTAGATAAATCATTAAAGTCGGAGTTTGGCAGGTCAATGTGAAATAGAAGTTTTGGAGCCACACTGAAAAAAACATAATATATATATATATATATATTTTTTTTTAATTATAATTTTTTAATAGTAAACAAAGTAGTATGACCCATATGGTCCTGAATTTGAGGAATGCTGTTTATATGAACCTGGTGAGCTTTGATTTTTGTCCCTCTTTGTGATTTGGTCTCTTTTGGATGCAGGTTTTTAGTTTTGTTTGGGTAACTTGAAACGAGGCTAGTTAAACTCACATACTTAGAAAAAAGCAACTTAACATGTTCAATACATTTAATTTCTCCCTCTGTGATTACAAACCAAATTTAAAAGTTTGTTACAAAAGCGTTTTTCACATTTAAAAAAATAGAGAACATTTTTTGCTCAAATAAACTTAATTTCAATGATCACAGGAAACATTTTTCTCTCACTTTTATTTGATGTCATACCAAACGTAAAAAAATAGGAACGAAATCTTAATTTAAAATCTTAACATTGGAGTAGTTGAAGAGTTTTACAATATTATAAAAAATAAACCGCAACTATCGTGTAAGAGCAAACATCCTTTATTTTACAACAATATCGCCATCAAGACAATGAATCTTTGGAAACACAGAAAGAAAATTCCAGTAGTTCAGTAAAATTTTGTAGGGAAGTTTTGTACCATTTGGCATGAGCAGAGAGACAGCCATAGGCTGAGGTTCATAACAAGGCCCTTCCATGGCAAACTTATAATGCCCATACCCAAGAAACATGGGTAGCGAGGGCCTAACTCATTGGATGTGTGTGGGCTCCTTCAAGTAATGAGTTTTATTTAACGTCTCGTTTGATAACTTACTATTTTAATTAAAAAGTGAAAAAAATCATTAAAAAAATTAAAAAATCAACAATATATATCAAAAAATTTAAAATTTTATTTTTTTTCTATTTTTTACACAACTTTCTATAAAAAATTAAAAAATTATTCCAAACATATTAATTTTTGGGGTTTTTTTTTTAAGGTCCTTGATATTATGATTTTATAACATAAAGGACATCAAATATTTTTATGATGTCTAAGGTCCATCAACAATATAAAGTAGAAAATATAAAAATATTTTAAAATTTAATATGTTATTCATACACACAAAAAAAAAAAAAACAAAACAAAACAAAACAAAACAAAAATACATGGGGAAAAATGTTGCATTTATGGGGTTCCACAAGGGTAGGACGCTCTACTAAATCTGGTGTTTCTTTGGAGGCTATGGGTTCGTTTGGTTTGTATTTTTGAAAAATTTTTGGAAAATTTTCTCTACAAATAAGCTTTTAAAAGTAATCAAACCAAACAAAGGGCTCGTTTGGTTTGATTTTCTGAAAAAAATTTGGGAAATTTTCTCTACAAATAAGTTTTCAAAAATAACCAAACCAAACAAATTTTCCCAAAAAAATTTCCCAAAACTTGTAAACCAAACAAGTTTTCCAAACAAATCTCTCTCTCACACACATCAAATCAATCACTTTTTCCAAAACTCTATCTCAAAATAATTTTCCAAAACATCTTTTAAAAAAAACCAAACCAAACATGTTTTCGTACTTTTTATCTCTAAAACACATCTCTCAAACACAAACCAAACATACCCACAAAATTTTATTATTAGCCATCTCAATTACACAAGCATCGCCCGTATCAAATAAGAGTAATGTTAGACCCTAAATATTCTACCAAAAGTTTTACCAAATGTCTCACATGGGTGTGGGACCCACACAATGTGGGTCCCATGTGGGTCCCACACCCATGTGAGACATTTGGTAAAACTTTTGGTAGAATATTTAGGGTCTAACATTACTCTTATTTGATACGGGCGATGCTTGTGTAATTGAGATGGCTAATAATAAAATTTTGTGGGTATGTTTGGTTTGTGTTTGAGAGATGTGTTTTAGAGATAAAAAGTACGAAAACATGTTTGGTTTGGTTTTTTTTAAAAGATGTTTTGGAAAATTATTTTGAGATAGAGTTTTGGAAAAAGTGATTGATTTGATGTGTGTGAGAGAGAGATTTGTTTGGAAAACTTGTTTGGTTTACAAGTTTTGGGAAATTTTTTTGGGAAAATTTGTTTGGTTTGGTTATTTTTGAAAACTTATTTGTAGAGAAAATTTCTCAAATTTTTTTCAGAAAATCAAACCAAACGAGCCCATAAAGTCCATACCCAAGAAACATGGGTAGTGAGGGCCTAACTCATTGGATGTGTGTGGGCTCCTTCAAAGTAATGAGTTTTATTTAACGTCTCGTTTGATAATTTACTATTTTAACTTAAAAGTAAAAAAATTATTAAAAAAATTAAAAAATCAACAATATATATCAAAAAATTAAAAATTCTATTTTTTACACAACTTTCTATAAAAAATTAAAAAATCATTCCAAACATACTAATTTTTTTGTCTCATATTTTAACTAAAAAACCAAAAAATTATTAAAACAACTTGTTCTCACACGAAGTCTAAGTTTAACAGTTTTATGGGTATGGCTTCTGTCCAGTCCCGGATCGGACTGAACCGTGCTTTTGGGCCCATGGGGGCCACCACGGGTCCCGTTTTGATAATCTGAACCGTTTAATGTGTAGAAATCGTCGAATACTATATGCCTGTAAAAAATTACGTTGATCGGATATCGATAGCTATGTGATCCAAACAGTTTTTTGTCAACCGTTAATTTGTTCACCGTCTAATTTTTTTAATACGAAATTGATTTGATCATATAGCTATTGATATCCGATCAACGTGATTTTTTACAGGCATATAGTACTCGACGAGTTCTACACATTGACGGTTCAAATTATCAAAACGGGACCCGTGATGGGTACCCACGAACCCAACAACACGGTCCAATCATCGGACTGGACAGAAGCCATACTCTTTTTTTATATACTTTTACAGAGGGTAAGTTTATTAAGCTAAGCCCTGTTTTGGCATGTTGGTTGGGAGGGCTAAAATGTTAAAATAGTAACAAAAAGACAAAATAGGTAGCATTGTTGGGGATGTGTTATATCAGTACACTTTTTGATTTTTTAGTTAAAAAAATAGATAAAAAAATATATATGTTTGGGACAATTTTTTAACTTTTTACGAAAAGATGTGTAATAAAATCAAAATGACTATTCTACCCTTGATGACTTTTTGACTTTTGGATAATTGAATTCAAAGGAAGAAATGATAATTTTGCCATCTAAATTTCCTCACAAGCTTCTCCCAAATAGTATAAACTTTTTTGTTTTTTAAGTAACTTTTTGACTTCTTAACTTTGGTAGGTTATCCCAAACCAACTAAAAATATTACATTTAAATCATAATTATTTTATTTTATTTTTTTTACAAAAGTTAATAAAACTAAAAAAATCTAATCAAAATAAATTTTTTTAACGTCATACTAAAATAGTTAGAAAGTCAACTCAATTCCTAAATCAACCCCGGTTGGTTCAGGATTGACGAGCCAACTAACTGTAACACAGGAATCAAAGAGCGAAGCTTGACAATGTCAAAAATAAATTTTGAAGATTAGATGGAGGCAACGGCCCACTCTTATTGGGCCGTGGGAAAAGATTGAAAAAAGAGAGAGGTGAAGTGAAAGGGAGGTGGGCGGTTGGAGGTTGGGGGAGAGATTAAATGAGAAGGTAGTGATGTGGAAGGGAGGTTGAAGGTTGGGGAAGAGATAAATGATATAATGGTGTTTTGAAAAGTTACTAAAAAATTAATTTTTGACTTTTTTAATTAAAAAAATTAACTTTTTGAGTAGTGACTTGCGTAAAAATCAAATTATTTTAATTAAAAAAGTCAAAAACTAACTTTTTGCTAGCTTGTCAAAGCATATAATACACATTTCAAAATATTTGAAATATTTTAATGCGTGGAATATGTGATAATTTTTCATTCATTTATATACTAAAAATGTTAATTATATTAATACAAATTAATATTTTAAAAAATAAAATATATTATTTTGGAATACAAATTAATATTTTTAAAAAATAAAATATATTATTTTTGTCCCAAAATATCAGTCTCTTATTTTATTTTTTATTGTCCTAAGATATTAGTTCATTTAAAAAAATCAAACTAAAATGACATGAATTTCCTATGTTGCTCATCTTTTAAATTTATTAATTATAATAATTGATTTTTTTTTTTCAATAAAAAAAAAATTAAAAAACTTAATATTTTTAAAATAAAATAATTATACTATTAAAAAATTATATTTTAAGACGAAAAGAATAATAATCTTTTAACTGAAAAAGATCACTTTTCTGGCTAGCACTGCAGAGGAAGAAGGTTCACAATGTTTGGTTTGGCTCCATAATCTTCTCTTGTTTTTTTATTTTTATTTTTAATGTATGGTTTGGATGGACTCTAATGCTGTGTTTGGTTAGGAAATTTGAGGAGGGATTTGAAAAGGGAAATAGAAAAGGTAAGTGAAATATGAATAAAACATGCTTAAATTTCACTTAATTTCACACACTTTTTTCCTTTCCCTTTCCAAATCCCTCCTCAAATCCTCTAATCAAACATTTCCACAGTTACACAATAACGCGTCACCACGTGGCATTTTTTATTTTTCATATAATAAAAGTCATTAAATACATATACATATATATATATATATATATACGTACAAATTCAATTCAACCCAATTACACACAAATTAGGGTTTCAGATTAATCTCCTCCTCTACTCTACGCTGAAATCAGGGAGAAGCTATGGGCGGAGGCAATGGTCAGAAAGCTAAAATGGCTCGTGAGAAGAACCTGGAGAAGATGAAAGCTGCCTCTAAAGGTATCTACTTCATACATTTCTCTCTCTATCTCTCTCTTTTTTCTTTTTCTTTTTTTAATTTTGATTTTGATTTTGATTTTGATTTTGATTTTGATCAACGCTCTGGTCTCTGCGCAGGAAGTCAGCTTGAAGCCAACAAGAAAGCTATGAGTATCCAGGTAGATCATGAAGAAAACTCTATTTGATATAATGTTGTGCTTTCGTGTATATGCCGATTTGCGTGTTTACGGTTTTGTGAAATTGATGCTAGAACGCATTAGTTCTAAGTTTACTAAACTTGATCCCATTGATATGATTCTTATATGTTAATTGCGTGTTTAGGGTTTGTGAAATTGATTTTATAATGCATTCGTTCTAAATCACTGTTAAGTTCTTTCGTTTTTTTTCATTACGCTGACGCACCTAACAAATTGCTAAGAAACATACATAAAATTAGTAATTGATATTGGTACAAATGCAAAGACACGTTCCAGGGAAAAAATGATTGTGTTTGCATTTTATAATCTTTTTAGCAATCTAGATTTACTTCCTTCAAAGAGGTCTGTCTAGTAGCAATTTACTAGGGAGGAAAATAAAAATGAAAAAGAAAACATGTAAACAGCATTGTTACCTGGGATATTTGTTGTAGAATTCTAGGGATGCGCACATCTAGACTTTTATTAAGTTGGCTTCAAATTGCATGCTTTAACATGATCGCATATTGTCTTACGTACCCCATCATGAAAGTCTTACAAGTCTAAATCTTGTTAAGTTTTGCGATCACGAGAAGCATAAATAAAGAAAGAAAGGAGCAGAGAAGCAGCTTCATTGATTTCTCTACTGCTTCTATAGAGCATACATTGCACTACGAATGGAGTTGAAAAGTGGCACAAGCACGCATCTACCCCCATCTGACACGAGAAGCATAAATAAAGAAAGAAAGGAGCAGAGAAGCAGCTTCATTGATTTCTCTGCTGCTTCTATAGAGCATACATTGCACTACAAATGGAGATGAAAGGTGGCACAAGCACGCATTTACCCCCATCTGCCTTCATTTTGACTCCAAGTTATTTAGCTATTATGAGGAACTTCATTAATTTTCATTGTTGTAGCATATACTAGTATCTGAGAAGATTGAATTCTTTTTTGATTCATATATGTTGGAACGAAATCAGTAAAAGGGAAGAGAAACAGTCAAAAGGCATGAGAAGGAAAAAGAAGATGAAGCTTTAGCTGCCTTTCCACAGTTGCAGCTTATTTATTTATTTTTTAATTCACTATGTTTAATTTATTTTGAACAAGATTTATCCTTCTCTGTCTCTAATGTTGTGATGGGTTGTTGAATGCAGTGCAAGGTCTGCATGCAGACATTCATTTGCACAACATCGGAGGTAAAGTGCAGGGAACATGCTGAAGCGAAACACCCTAAAGCTGATGTTTATGCATGCTTTCCTCATCTTAAGAAATGATGTGAAGATGGGAACTTGCAGAGGGGGATGGGTTTGAACATTTGTTTCTATTCTATATCCATGTGACTTGTTGGAAGCTTTTCTAGTGTTGTGTTACTGGGAATGTAGAGACTGGGAGGTAGGTTACTTTTAAATTGTGTGGAATGTTTATATAATATATCAATATAGCCTCCCCTTTAACACGATGCTTGTTCTATTTTTGTGTGTTGATGGTATTGATTGTTGCTGAATGGCTTCCACATTTTAAGGTTTGTATTAATGCAATACAATCCACATATATGTCTGCATATATATTTGAAGAATGGAGGAATATCATATTTTTAATGGAACGGAAAAAGTAATTGCAAATTAATGAAATTTAAGTGAGTTTAACAGGCCTCATTTGCGCAGGCACGCCTCACTTTTATATTCGCCATTATTATCCTTTCACCCACACTCTTAGATTAGAACAGTGTCTAATTTGTCACTTTTATATTCGCCATTATTATCCTTTCATCCACACTCTTAGATTAAAACGGTGTCTAATTTGTGTTATTTTCTGAATATAATTTCGAGAATGAGTAATTAATTATTGTTGGTCACACATGTATCGAAACCAACTTAAGAAAAAATATGGATCGGTTCTCAACTTAAGAAAACCTGTATCCTCTAATTTCACCAAATGTTTTGAAAATATACATAAATTTGAATACTGACTATTCAGTAATTTAAAATGACTGTAAAGTAAATTTCAGGTACGTTAAAAAAAATAATTCTAAAGATACTAACAGTCTTACTAAAAATCATGATATTTTTGTACATATTTTTCCAATTTATAAATGTGCTCTCATGCAAGCAAGCAAAGGGCCAAGGCACCAGGAATGTCTTAACTACCATTGCCTTGTACATAAAGAACTGATTTAATTTGGACGATTCGTGTGATTATTGCAAAGAACATATGAAAAACCATTTTAAACCAATCTTCCATTAAAGTTTGTCATTTTCTAAACCAATGCAAGCGACAAAGAGAAGGCTGAAGCAAGTTATATGAAAACAGATGACAAAAAAGTTACATATTTGATAGACGGCCAAACGTGCAGCACATTCATTCTAAATTGAAATATACGGTGAAAAAAAAAATTAAAGAGGGTAAGGAATGACTTTCTAATTTTTACAACAAAAAAAAACGTAAAAAATATATAGATATAAGAAGTAATTTTGTCTTTTTTTGGGTATAATTTTATAGTTTTTTGACCTTTTAAGTACTTTTTTTTATTATTATTTTTGCCACTTGCCAAACGGAATTAAAAGCCAGGGAGTGCCTAGTACAGCAGAAGAAAAATACACATTATATACATGTGAGCACATTTGTTACCATGAAAGACCTTTCAGATTTAAGACATTGCCACCTACAATAGCATGATAATTGAACAAAGCATCAAGACTAGCAGTGACGCAATCCGAAAACTCAGTATGACAAGGACTATACAATCTCTATGAAAGATGCAAATGTTAAAGGATTGCATCATCTTAACCGGACCAACAGCCTACACTCGGCGAGTACTCAAATGTTAGAATAAGTAACTATCCATAAACAAATTAACACCTCAAAACAACATGTAGAGTTCACTTCTGTAGATAGGCAATACAATACAGAATGGAATCACTGTGTCCGCATCCTGCTATTTTCAGCAGCCTTCACTTGAAAGAAGTATGGATGAGCCTGGAAAAAAAATATAAAGCATGTCTTGATGAATACAGGCAACAAGAACTAAAGCATATGAGACAAGTTAAAAATGATGACAATAGAATTAAATACAATCTCCAAGCTTCTAAACCAAAGCATATAATAAGGCCATTATCAATGGAAGAAATATAAAAGGAGAAAGTGACGCATGACAATCAAGAAATACCATTGCTTCTTTGGCTGTAAGCCTATCTTGATGATCATAACGAAGAAGCTTATCAAGGAAATCAAGGGCCTGCAAGTCACAACACAGATAAGCCCAAGCCAAAAGAAATCAACAAAGAACTAACACAAAGCAATCTGAAAACAAGATAAATCTGCAATTAATAAGTGACCTCAGGGGAAACTAAATGCTGATTATCGGCATTAATAAATCTTGACCAGGGCTTCCTGCTATGCCTGCAAGAGAATTAAAGAAAAGAAATATTAAAACTGAGAACCATGATCAGGTAGTTGCACACTAGCATGATGTATATTCTTATAAGGCATTAGTTGTATCTTTTTTTCCCTTTCTAAAATTGAGTTTCAGAGAAATCATAACTTCATAAAAATACCTTCCAACAAGAGCATCAAGTTGAGGATCAAGTTCTAGATGATACTTGTTCAAATATGCATTTAACTCATCTGTGCCGAGAACCTGTAACATAAAAGTCATATGAGAGTGGGAAAATGCCCCACCGGAATATTTCAGCTCCTTCTCAACCCAGTAAGGTCGACATAAGTGGCAAGGAAAGAATGTGAATCCGATTGCAAGCAAATGGGAGGGGCATGCTAATACTGCAAATTATGGAGAATATTATATGGACAGACAGGACACTGCAATGTAGACATCCTTTTTATGAATTTTATTAAATGCATTTTGAGTTCTATCTATAAACATCCTATTGATATGTTTTCTGTTACAATACAGTAATTTTGTAATAAACAGGCGACAACCTAATGTATGAGATGAGTTGGGAATGTTTCAAAGAAATATCAAAAACATTTTTGAAATTTAAAAGATTATTTCTACATTACAGTAGATCTAGAAAGCAGCAGGCTTGAGTATTGATACTGGATATGGAAATGGCTCCTTATAATTATCCCTACTATCTATGTCACAAAGATAAGCCGTAAATTCATGCAGAAGCAATTATGTAGAGTTGGTGCTACCCAAGGTTTTAAGCTATGCAGATTTCCACAAAGGTTATTGAGTACTCAAGGAAAACATGTCCTCAATGGTTCACAGCCAGAATAGCTTAAACATTGGTATGCAATGGTACGGTGGATATCGATGCAGTCACCAAGAATGTTACACCACTTAAGCATCAACTAGAAGATGTTGCTATAATGCTATTACTCTTCCATTTTTTTAATAAATAAAATCTTGTACAAACAAAAGTGCCAACAATGGGAGTTCCAGCCTGTAAATGCATGACACATCATATACAAAAAGCAAAAACTATCACTCCCTATATTTATCAACAAAAAAAGAAAGAAAAAGTATCACTCCCTATGATTCTTAACGAATCTATAAGGCTAGAAAAACCTCCAATAAGGGACCAGATCATTCTGACAAAGGGTCAAAAAATCAATCCTCTCAGAACTATTTTAGTCTTCACTGATACTAGCATTGATATCATGTCATTCCAGTTCCTCTTCTTCTTCTTTTTTTTGAGAAAAAAGAACGAATCATGAGGAATTCAAAAAAAAGTTAAAAGGAACCCATCTTCACTGCTCATATCCAAAAGTGAATGAAAGAGAGATTCAATTTCAATCTTGAAGCCTATTACTCAACCCTAAAAAATTATACAACCTAGCAATTACATGGGAGAAGACCAATGAGCACCTAAAAATTTTAAAAATAAATTTTTTTATCAAAAATTTATGTAGTGGGTGGAGGCCTCTCTTACTTTGGGCCTGCAACAAAGAAAGCAGCTGAGTGATGTAAGAACATCAGTGAAGCTATCAGATGCTATAACCCAAATCCTCATGGTGCAACTTCTGCTGCACCTTTTATTATAAGCACTTGGACAGTAACACTCAAAAAGATATAAGCAGTCACTGCTGCACCTAGTGCAGCAACAGCTCTCCCAAGCGTGTGCCAAATGTAACAGCAAGTTCGCAGTTAATTGGATAGCATTGCTTTCCTATGGGTGTTTCCATTAAACATTGCTGACTCATCATCATGATGCAGTTCCTCATGAATACACAAGTAAAACAAAGAAATTTTCCAGGTTATTCTCAATAAACAATACAGGGAGAGAACTAGAATACAGGACAGGAGGTTAAAAATAAAACATGAACTATCTAACAGCAACCACTCATAGCCTTTATTTGCTAAGTTGACAGAAACACATGGCATCTATGCAATTTTTCACATTGACAAGAGCATCAACATTACCTTGGCAATCTTGACAAGCTGATCATGGTTGTCATGACCATAAAAAAATGGCTCCTTGCGAAAAATCTGAAGGTTATGAAAATTAGAACTCTGTTCAGTAATATTGTTATGGTAAAAAAAGAAGACATCAAGTCCAGCATGACTCACCATTCCTGCAAACATACAACCTAGGCTCCACATGTCCAAAGAATAGTCATAATCTTGCAAATCCACAAGGAGTTCAGGCCCCTTAAAGTACCTAAATAATCAGAAAAGATGTTTTGATTTTCTGCAAAACTAAGTGAAGAATGCAAGAGATACCCAGAAGTCAACAATTTACTAAAGCAACAAGCATGAACTTTATTAAAAAAATAAAGAGGTAGGAAACTCCTTCCGCCCTATGCATAACAATTTAATTTCTCCTTTGGTTCTAACTGAACAAGATCACTTTCTTGGTAAGTTAAATAACTAGTTTACCAGACAAACATGAGAGTGTTTATTTTGAAAAATTCAAAAGGAAGAAACTTCCTGGAAAATCCATTATCTGGTATGTCACTAAGTAATTTGGCATTTGTTGCCAAGGGAGAGGAAATCATCAAGTTCAGTCCCTCATCCTCCATGTCTGCAAGACATGGTCATTTTCAATGATACAACCCAGAGTTCAACAAAGGAGTCAAATGTGTATCCTGCTATGTTTTGTGGCATTTAATGTGAAACTCAAATTGGGAAGAGAATTGTTTCCATTCATGATGACGATGATTCTGGTCTCATCATTTTGAACATAGGGTGCTTGTGCTCGCTCATTCATGATTCTCAAGCAGTTGTTTTGAGTTCATCATCATATGTTGACAAAACATATTATGTCCATCATAAAACAACTGAAAGAATTGTAGCTCTCTCACCCAAGAAAAACCTACAAGGAAGTCCCCAAAACTTTAGGGATTTACTGCAATATCATGACGACAGTGGAGGACTTCAAAGGACATATCCTAGATTCTATTAGAAGAATTTATTTTTAATCTCAAATTCATATTTTGAAAATATATCTGACGGTGTGTTGTAGCCGCAAGGCACTATAGGTTCCTTTGATCCTTTAATCCAGAACATGGTTGGAATTTCATGATAGAATTACATCCATAGAACATGTAGCAAACAGATCCAGCGACACCAAAAACCAATGTAATAAGTACAAGTTGGGTGTAGACCCAACAACAGAGCGCATGTTATCAAGGAGCAGCATTATGGAGTATTTACAACTTGGATGCAAGGCTTGCTCTTCCTCAGAAACAGATCCAGAGACACCAAACACCAATGTAATAAGTGCAAGTTGGGTGTAGACCCAACAACAGAGAGCATGTTATCAAGGATCAGCATTATGGAGTATTTACAACTTGGATGCAAGGCTTACTCTTCCTCAGAACTTAAGAAAGATGGTTCCAGCCATAAATTAAATTTCTTAAAGGGGTGAAAGCAAAAACAAGCGACAAGATAAAAGTAAAATAATTCTTTGCTTTCATAAAAGGTTACCTTGAAGCAACTCGGACATTGTATTCTTTGGCAGGATGGTAGAATTCAGCAAGACCCCAATCAATCAAGCGAAGTTTCCGTAGCTCATGGTCAATCATAACATTATGAGGCTTCACGTCTCTGTGCATTATGCCTTGTGAATGGCAGTAATCTAATGCCTGCAGTTATTGAAGGGGCTGTATTAGTACAATACATAGTTGTCAAATCGAGATTCGTATCATGAATCAAAATGACCTCGTACCGAATCGCGAGTCAAATTGTGAATCGTAAAGATTCGGTCACTTTTTCTAAATTATTTAAAAACATATATCATCACATTTAGATGTTAAATATATTTTATGAATATAAAATATTTAGACTTAAATCAATAAAAATGTTATTTTGAATGATAATCGCTTAGTTTAATAGGTAAAAAGTTAACAAAGGTTCCGATGTAAAATCACCATCTTACCTTTTTTTTCTTTTTTAGATATTTTTTATCAACTATTCTTAATAAAGATAATAACCAAATAAACAAACTATCAATTTTTAAAATAATAATAATTAACAACGATATTGATATTTGGACAATAAACATACATACTTTTCTAAGTAACAGTGAACAAATAATAATAAAGAATCATTTAGAATATTTTATTTTAAAGTCTAAAACATTTTAAAAGGTATAACTAACCTCACACATGTAATATTCAATTTAATAAAATAGCAATAGATAATTTATTGTGTAACTTTAATCTTTAACATCTTTGGAAGATATATTACGATTTTTTAAAGGGAAAAAAAATAAGAAAGGTTAAAAATATGTTGGGTCTGACAAAATCTGATTGGATCCTATTAAAAACTTCATGATCACTAAAATAATAAACAATCATGTATATATGTTGGTTATTTTGATATTAAACGCTATTAGAAATTGTATTATGTCATTTTTACTAAAAAGATGGAGAAAAAAAGTTGAAAATATGTCGGACACAATAATTTTAAAAATTGCATAAATCGTAAAAAATGAATCGATTGTGAATCGTGTGATTCACTAGAGATTCACTTCCAAAATAGATTCACCCATAGATTAGTATTGATTTTGCAAAAATTGCGAATCAAATCGCGAATCGTAAGATTCTGATAACATAGGTAGGTACAATATTACAATAATGTGAAGAACAAGAAGTGAAATGTTTGACTAACAATAGTCTGTAGACAATTCAAGGTATTGCAACAGAAAAGAAGTGAGAAAATGAGCACAAACATGAAACCATGCATCCCTCAACATATAGGTAAATGAAAACAAAGACAAATATAAATACAGGTGAATCCAATGAAATTTACATGCATTGCATAACAAAACTTCATGCAGCAACATGTACAGTGAACCCATTAAATATGGGCATCAGCAAGGATCTATGTAATGCAATGAGAACATCTCTAAGGCAATCTAATCCAATGGTCCCCCATTCAATAACATAATCCAAGGTAAATTCCATTAAATACCAGCAAATGCCACTAAATTGAGTTTCCCTTAAGACGTCTAAAAGGGAAGAGTTTTGTGTGGAAGGCTACAAACAAGAGAGGGAAAGAACAAAAGATTGTGCTTCCCCAATAAGAACTGTCAAAACAATGCCTCCTTAATGAATGAGTTCAACACAATTGGCCAATCTAAAAAACAAAAGAAGGGTACTAGATCGATCTAGAAACCATCCAAGATCTCCCTAATGCAATTAGCCAAATTGGGGAACAAGAGAAGGGAATCTACTGGATCTAGAATCATCAAAGTTCTATCTAATGCAATGGGAACATCTGTAAGGCTTTCTAAGTTGATAGTGCTCCGTTCAATAACATTATCCAAGATAACTTCCATAAAAAATTCCAGGAAATAACACTAAATTCAGCTTCCCTTAGATCTCTAAGAGAGAGAAGAGATTTGGGTGAAAAGACCACAGAAGGAAGCAAGAAAAACATATGTAAAAGAAAACCTCACAAGAGCGTACTTCCCTAACAAATATCACAAGAATAAATGCCTTATCTTAATATTAAAGATAAAAAAATCAGCACAACTTAGCCCCTCTAGTGAACAGCAATTAATGGATCTAGAATCATCCAAGATTTCTCCATTGCAATGAAACATCTTTATTACACTATAAAAGATCTATGCGGGCATCCAAAAGTTCAGGTCATTGATGCGTACATGTGAAATTTAACTACATTCATTGATGCAAATAGCAACTAAGTCCAGTCCCCATTTTTTAGCAAGACATCATGTCTCAAGCACAGGATGAGACCATTATGTTCTTATCTAACATTTCCATTAAATCCCAAAAGTTCATTTATTTATTTTTGCAGAGAGAGAGAGAGAGTGTGTGAGGGAGAGAGAGAGAGAGAGGAAAATTCAAGTCCCAAAAGGCAGTATAACCAAAGCATCGGACAAAGAGAAAACCTTGAGAAGCTCATATATGTAATAGCGTATGTCATAATCCGTCAGTGTGGGGTACAAAACTTTAAAATCTGTACTGTTCACATATTCAAAAATCAAGCTAGGAGTTTTTGAGTGCTGATCTCTGACAATATCAAGCAGTTTCACGACATTTGGGCCTCCACAAAGATTCTGAAGTATTTTTATCTCCCTTTTTATCTGCACAAGTAAAGAGTCACAGTATAAAAACAATAAAAATGAATGCACCATAAACTCTAACCATTTATAAAAATAAAAAAATAAAAAAAACTAAATAAGATAAAATAAAATACAAAAACTTTAACCATTTGCACCACAAACTATTATGAAAAATGGTACATTTCTGGCATGAACACTATTTGCACCACAAACATCACAAGTGTCAGAAAGTCACTTCTAGTAAACAAGAAGGCACTCCAGATTCCTCCTTGGGCAAACATCATCCAATTCAAATCAAGTTTATGAGGGGAAGAAAATGCTAGGTCAAATTTCTCTTAACAGAGGCAGCTCCAAGGATTTGTTAAAAAAGACTAAGGAGGCAGTAAGGCACCTACTGAAAATATTGCATGGTGGAGGTATTTCATTCTTCCAAGAATCAATAACGAGGGCAGCCGTGAACAAAAGTTAACATCCTAAATACTAGAGTGCAAAGAAGGGGCAGGACAGCTAGTTAGTAAAAGAGATCTATAGAATCTTGTTCTCCAATATATGGAAACTCAATAGTAGTTTTTCAATAAATAGTCACCATTGCATAATCAATCACATAAAATATTGCATCCGTGTCAACAAAAACTAATGATTGGTAGCCACAAACGTCAAAATTAGCTTAGATGATAATTTTAAAGCTTTAACAGAGGAAGTTTATCTAAACAGTATTCAGGAATTTTACATGTAACAGGATAAATAGCAGACATACACCGGTACGCGTACCGCCGTACCGGTACGCGTACCCGCACCCGGTAAGTACCCGGTACTCGTACGGCACTATTTTTGGAGTACCCGTGCTTCATAGGTAGCCACAAACGTCAAAATTAGCTTAGATGACAATTTTAAAGCTTTAACAGAGGAAGTTTATCTAAACAGTATTCAGGAATTTTACATGTAACAGGATAAATAGCAGACATACAAATATAGGCATCTGTGAATACAAATATGTGGAATAACAGAACCACACTGAAAGGAACTGCAATGCAGTTTGGACTGCTTATATAACAGAGATGTATATAGGCCCAAAACATAGACCCCAATAAATCAGGGCATGGGAGGTAATATATCAAGATACTCAACTCAACTCAACTCAACTATAAGAAGGTATGGGTAGTGAACACAAAATCATATGAAGAATTAAGATACAATGCATAAATATTAAGAATATCGCGTACAGGGGGGGAGAATGTATAAATCACCTTCTTCTTCTTGACGGGTTTAAGGATCTTGATGATGCATTTTTCATTGTTGGTGACATTTATACCTTCAAAGACCTCACTGTATTTTCCCCTCCCAACTTTTCGAACAACCTCATAGTCATCTTGATCGCTGAGTATAAACCAAAAAAAAAAATGCATATATTTAAAAATTGCGCCAAAAAATAAAAGAACAAGAAAATTTCACAAAAGACTGAGTTAGAAAGCAGATCTCTCTTAGTAGAGAAAAATATCAGATACCATATAGATCCAAGAGGCAAAATACCAAGATCCCTGTAAGACATTAGCTAACAACTCTCCTCAATTATATCAACCCCAATCCTAAACCCCAAATTTTCTTCAATTAGGCAACCTTAATACCCTTCTTAAATTGCGATTTCCACTTCAAATCATCACTTCGCAGAATGCCACAAAAGATATTACATAAATAAACATAACACTCAAATAAATTGTATTTTAAATCTTTGATCATCAACTTACATTGAAACTTTAACAGGGTTTTTTTTTTCCCCCTTCTAAATTGTTCCAAAACCCATTGACTGAATTAGACTCTCCTACTCAACAGTTCTTGCCTATTATTAGCTTGACTAGCACCATCAGCACACTTTCGCTATCGATAATACCTAGAACCACTAATTCACCCCCAAAATAAAACTAACAACATAATAAATCTAACAAAAAATACAACACAAATGAAAGCACAAACTCTACATCTAAATCTATCAAATTTGAAAGAAGAGAATTCAGTGGCAAGTCTTAAAATAAGAAATTGTGCAGCATAGAAAATCAAAAAGAAGCGGAAGGAATTAGGGTTTTTTTTTTTGAATTTACCCCCATTGAACGGTGAGAGACTCGTAATCCCAGTAATCTCGAGGGCGGTGAACATTGACGTCTGCGTAGACTCGAGCTTGTGACATTGCTCCAGCGAAGAAGAAGCTACAATGCCGAAGAAGAGAAGATCAAGATTCGCCTGATTTATATGTTGTTGTCAATCGACGGTGGTAACGAGTCGCTTTGTGGACCTCTTTCTTTTGTTTGAGAGTATATAGGGCGTGGTAATCACAGCTTGGGCTTCTATTAATGTACATAAATGACTGCGGCCCAAATAAACCTCCCTGGACTAGGCCTTGGAACTCCACAATGACGTACGTGTTAACTTAGGGCTTTTTCGGAAATCGCTTTTTGATTTTTCATAAAAATAGAGAAAATGATTTTATAATTTGTAGTAATTTTTTTTTGCTAAAAATTTAAATTTCCAAACAAAGCCATAATGAAATTGACCATAAATAAAATAAATAAACAAGAAGGCACTCAAGATGTGAAGAGAAAAGGGAATATAGAAAGTGATTAAATTGGTGTAGAAAATAGGAATAAAGTTATACACACTGATTGATATATTAATTAGTGTACTAATGGATGATGCGGTATAATTTTAGAAATTATAAGTTTTGTAGTTTGTATAATAAGTAGAATCTATAATTTTGAAATGATAGTATCATAATATATATTGGTATACTAATTGATATATCAATTAGTACATGTAACACGACTAAGAACAAATATTAATAGCGTTAAACAAGATGCCTACACCCAATACTGCTAGTTCAGACACTCAATTATCAAAATAAAATAAAATACTTCTTGAGCTTAATTTACAGTAGTAGCCTAGTTAGTGTTGTTTTATTGAAATTAAAATAAATACTCATTTTTTAATATGAAAATGTTTTATATGTACCAATTTAAGTGTTAAATCTTATCCAATTTGTTTGATATGTATTAAAAGTTGAAATTTAAGAAAGCCCCCCACACTACAACAAAAGAGGGCAAAAAACACGAAAGCATTTGCGACGGCGCGTTTCCCGTCGCAAAAAATGGTCTTTTGTGACGGCAAAATTAACCATCGCAAAAAATAGCTTTAGCGACGGCGTTTAACCGTCGGTAATAAAACTGCACGGGCAGGTATTAAAATGTGGAAGTATTAGCGACAGCGTGTTGTAGACACGCTCGTGGGCCTCGCTACAGTTCGAACTCGATTTGTGTCACGGTTCTCATTCTGAACCAAAGAGTCCAAATTCGGTAAATCGTTTTGAGAAAACAGATTTTTTTGAAAGAAGTGTCAAACATGGACTACTTTGCCAGATACAGAGTCGCCACCTAAATATTTTTTGTGGGGGAATTTAGGAAACCCTGACTCGGTGCCGAAGGCCACATGTCCGTCATCACCGGAGTTGTCTCAGCTCGGGAGCTAGGGTACGATTGGGGAAGGTCAGCTATGAGCACCCCCTCTCGCCCGATCCGAAGATCGGCCTCTACTAACCGTGATATCCGTTTTTGAAAACATTATGTGTTCTTATTCCAATTATTATCCTAGAATTACTATGTCATGCGCACAGCAAACAAGTATAGACTAGATTGCCTAATTTGGAAAGAAACATTGCATATCCGTTTGTTTTGAAAAGCGCTTTGACGACGAATCGCAAAGGCAGTACTACCCAAGAAATTCAAAGCACCGTCATTCACCTTGTACAACGGCAAATCAGATCCCACCGACCACATCCGCCACTACAAGCAAGCCATGACATTGCATGCAGACGACGTGGCCCTCATGTGCCGAATATTTCCCAA